GTGCCAGCTGCTGGCCCCGGCCCCACCCTGTACTGTTTCCTCCTGTGACACAGAGCAGACGCCCAGGGGCCCAGGGCTCCGCAGGCTGGAAGGCCCCGTCCGAGGCGCCATCACGGGGCTCCGCCCTGCCGGAGAGGCTGAAGGGAAGGCGGAGGGTCGGGGAGGGCTGGGGGTCTGGTGCTGGGGCTCAGACGCTCGGCGGTGGGGCGTGACCGGGGTTCGTTTCTGTGCCCACCGCGTGCCTTCCTGTCTCCCGGCTGCAGGGCAGATGGACAACAAAGCCATGTACCTGCAGGCCGCGAGCGAGCGCGACACCAGCTCCATCTTCGAGGAGCCCTTTGACGGCAGGAGCCTGTCCAAGCTGAACCTGTGTGATGACGGTGAGCGCCACCGGCCCCACCCGCCTGGCCCGGGGTCCTGAGAGGCCGTGTCCATGTGTGCGGGCGCGCGGGGGGCTGCAGAGGCGGGAGGCATCACGGGGCTGCTCAGACGGGGCAGCTCTCCGGCCCCTGCGCGACCCCCCCGCTCCCCCCCAGCAAGGCTGCGTCTGTCCGGCGATCAGCACAGCTCTGCCGGCGCCCGGGCCCCTTCCCGAAGGGCCTGCGGGCACAGCTGCCCGGGGGCACACTTCCGCCCTGGGTCCGAGGCCCAGCTCACTCCGCGGGAAGGCGTCCTGGCGGACGGGCTGTCTGTAAACTGCCTCGACCTAGCAGGGGCAGCTTGTCCCAGGGGCTCAGAGCACCTCCCCGGGGTCCGCCCTGCTGCTGCGCCCCTTGCAGTGTAAGGGGAGAGGGCTGTTCCTGGTCAGAGAGGCGTCGCCTGGCACTCACACAAGTCTCGGGAGACGGGAGGACGGAGGACCCCCTCAGGCCCTGTGCCTCCCCCAGAAGCGGCTCTGCTACTTGCCACACCCCTCCCCTGGGGCCCCCTCACTAAGAGCTTCTCGAGGGGGGGGCGAGTCCTTGACATCTACGTTGGCGAGACAGACACATCCTAGGCCTGCTCCCCAGCGTCGGGTGCCCCTGGCCTCCTCCTGGTGCCGGGCCGGGGTCCCCAGGAGCCCGAGGCCCGCGCTGCGGCCGGGGAAGCACCCCCCGAGCCTTCCCTTCCCGTTCGTTTGTCAGAGGAAAACGGTGCGCGCCGACTTGGGACAGTCATGCCAAGGTTCATGCTTTGCCAGGAGTTTGCTGCTGCTTTGATCCTGGCCTCTGGGGAGCGGAACAGGAGAGGGAGAGGAAGAGGAAGGTTGGCGGGAAAGCAGAGGAGGGCAGGGCGGGGGGGCCCCACCCCGGCCCTGCCAGCGTCCTCCCGGGAAGGTAGGGTGGTGGGCGGCAGGGAGGCGCCTCCTCTTGGCCCGGGCCCGGAGACCTGGAGGCAGAGGTGCAGAAACAGCCCAGGTGCTGAGGCCGGACTCGGGCCGCAGGCAGGGCACCTCAAGCTGCTGGGGCGGACAGGGCGGCCACCTCACGACGCTGCTGTGCCTCCTCCCTGCTCTCTGGCAGCTGGGAAGGAAGGGCCGGTCGGTGCCCTGGCTTCACGCTGCCGCCGTCGCCTTGCCCAGCTGCAGCGGGCGTGACCGGGGCACGGCTCCTTGGCCTCGGGCCCCTCTCGGTCCTGGGCACCTCTGACCCGCCCCTGTCCGTCCTGGGCACCTGACCTGGCCTGTCTCTCAGGTCCCTGCTTCCTTCCTTGTCCGGGCCCACCTGTGATGGGCTGTCCCCAGGGACGGGCCCTGTGAGGCCCAAGTCTTCGCTGGGTGCTGGCCTGGGCCACCGTGTGGCCCAGCACGAGGAAGGGCTGACGGCAGAGGCCCTTTAGCCTGCCCTGACCTCACACCTACTCCCCTCAGACAGAAACCCGGTCTGGTGGGGCCAGCTGGCCTGACCGCTGCATCCCCGCCTCTCTCCTCCCGTCTCTGTCCCTCCCTCCCTCCCTCCAGGATCCCCTCCCTCCCTCCCCCCTCCTTTCTCCTCTCTCCCCTCTCCCTTGCTCTCATCTTCCCGGCTGGGGCCTCTCCTCTGGCGCCAGGAGGTGGAGGAGGCTGCAGAGGGAGGGTGTGGGTGGTGTCGGGCTGGCCTGGCCCCAGCGGCTCCTCCAAGGGCCAGGAAGAGGTGTTAGTGTCAGAAAAACACTGCAGCCCTGCCCCAGGGCCAGCCTCCGCCCTCTCTGCTCACTAGGCTCGGCCAGCCTCACCACTCACAGCCGGGAGGCAATGCGTCCCACATGCAGCCTGCTGGCGCAGGGGCCCAGGCACCCCGCTCTGACCTCCCCCTCCATCAAGTTAAGTCATTCCTCTAGGGGAGCCCCAAGTCTAAGTTCCCATCAGCACCTCCCAGCAATTCCCCGCCGGCAGAGACCAGGCAGCCCCCAGGGGTAGAAGCGGTGGCCTGGGCGGGTCTGGCTGGGCCTCGTGGGTCTCCGCCTGTGCGGTTGGGAATGAGGCTCTGGACAGGCGGAGAGCAGGGCCCCTGCGGAGGCAGAGCGGAGAGCAAAGGCCCCCTGTGTGGCTCTGCAGTCCTGGGGTGCGGGATGCCTGTGGCCAGGCTGGACCCTGGGTCCCTCCAGAAGTTGGGGGCCGCCTGGGCCGGGGGTGAGAGCCTGCATGTGCAAGCTCGTCGGGTCTGGGTTTGAGTCGGGGGGCGCGGGGGGCCGTGATGACGTGCGGCCCTGGGCTCCCCGCGGCCGCTTTTGATTGCTCCTGGTCACACTCGGCCACTCAGGGTGGCTGCCCCGGGGCTGGGCCCCAGGATTCCCCTCAGGAGTGGGGACGCACACTGGGAGGCGGAGTGTGAACGCCGTGGGGTGGGGGGGGTGCTCTCCCGCCACGGCCGGCTGTGTCACCTCCTGCGCCCAGACCCCCGGCTCCGGCACGGCCCCCAGAGACCACAGGCTGGACGGCCTGCCCGAGCCTGCCCCTCTGGGGGCGGGTCCCAGGACGCTAAAATGGACCCACCAGGTGCGAGTTAAGTGGAGCGATCGGGCTCCGACTCATTTTATCAGGGAATTGTTTGAACTGCAAAACAGAACGCGAGCTGGTCACAGAAATCGGGACAAGACAGTTGGTGCGACAGAGTCCAATCAGACGCTTGGGGCTGGCCACGGCCCCGTCGGGCTTATGGGGCGGGGGACCCCAACAGGGCAACAGGCAGAGAAGAGCCAGTGCGAGGCCGCGTGCGGCCCCTCCTGAGAGGAAGGACTTGCGGGGCCGGATTGACTCCTCCCCCTCCCCAGAGGGACACATGTGGCGTGGTCAGCCTGCGGGATCCAGACCCTGAGGCCTTTGAAGGCGTTTGACCTTCACAGATGCTGTGGCCTCTCTCCAGGCCTCTGCAGGCCTGCAGGCTCAGCCCTGGACCCTCCAGCCTGCCTGCCTGGCCTCCCTGTGGGGAGCAACAGCGGCCTCTGCCCAGCGACTCAGAGAGCTGAGCGCAGCCTCCGGGCCCCCGGCACCAGGAGCTGACCGGAGTCGCCCCTGCCGCCCCGTGCTGCCAAAAGGTCAAGTGGGAGAAGCCCGGGCACTGGTCCCTGGGCTGAGCCGTCGGCGGTCAGCGGTGACCCGGTGTCCTGGTCACCTAGGGCTGCCTGCCCAACACCACATGGACAGACACTGATTTCTTACGGTCCAGAGGGGCCGCGGGGCCCAAGATGGTGGGTCGGCGGGACAGAGGAACGAGGGTTATGACGCCCAGTTTGTCAACGATCCGGCGAAACCTCTGGCGAAGCGAAGTCATGAGGTCAGAGGCAGGGCCTGGACTGAGCCCCACGTCTGCGGTCCTTGGGGCCCTGCACCCTGCTCTGGGTTCTGACCCGGGAGTCCTGCACCACCCAGAGCCGGCTGGAGGGCGCCAGGCCCGGAGTTTCAGGTTTCAGAGGTGGGGCGCTGGCCCCGTGACAAGCTGGGGTGGGGCCGTGGGAACTGACGCTGACATGCAGGGGACAGATGGGAGGAATTATCCTAGGAGGTGCCCTCGGCGGGCAGCCAGCTGGGCTTGGACCAGAGCAAAGGACACAGCTGTAAAGGGCTCCAGAGGGAAGCCGGGATGGGGGCGGCTGGGGGCTGCAGGTCAGAGCAGCCCCCTCTCCGCGCCCCCCGCGCTGCAGTCTGCCTCCATCCGGAGGGTGGCCGAGGGTTTGGCAGGCACCCGGGAGCCGGGTGCCCGCGGTCGGCTGGCGGGCGC